GGGGGGGGGGGGGGAGGGTTACATTAATTCGAAATATGATCGTTATATAAAAGGATAATTTGAAATTTGATATATAGACATCATAAATTGTTTTTAATACATTTCTTATTAAAACATACGTGATATATACACGGCAATGCCAATATGTCACGGTTTCCCATTGCACAGCATGTGAATACCATAAAGTGGGAAGTGGGCAGACGGCGTCCTCCTTCCCCCCCCCCCGTAAATCCCAACGGTTTTAGGAGGCCTGGTTGCGCAGGGTTCGCCGTTAGTAGTAATTTTCGGTCTGGGCAAGTTCAATATAAAATGGGTTTTGATTTCCATTGTTAAAATATGGTCCAATACTTGTACATCGCCGAAGCACCTCCGTATTTTCGAAAAACGGCATTTGTTGTACATACTGGCGAATTGTTTTGGAGAATAAAGCGATTTGAGTGTGAGAATTTTCGATTCGAAGTGCCGTGCCGTCGGATCGACGATCGGAAATAGTTAGCCTAATAGCCTTTATCATGTTTCATGTATACTAGTAACATCGAGTACAAAGTCTCGGAAAATATTAGTCCAACAAAGGAGGAATACAAGGAGAACACACACTATCAAATAGGCAAGTCAATTTCATTTTAAAATTTATATTTTATGACATATTTTTACTATAATATACATTACTATAATATATTATACATTTATACTGTAAGTCTATACTGACCCTTGCGAGATTGGGCCGCCTGTGGGCACATGAGAAGCGCGACATTTGAAACAGGCCTTAGTTAACTCAATGGTCACCAACGACATTAAAATATAGTATTTTATTATAAGGCGACAAAATGTATTAATAAAAGCGATGAATAATCCGGCTTATCATTTGATTCATTTGCCACCAGGTTTCGTGTATTTTTCCGTGAGAGACCTACCAAAACTCGTTATTTTATCGTGTTTGGAAAATGAGTTCACTGTTCACATTCGATATTTGTTGTCGATCTGAGCAGAATATTGATTTGCCTGCCGAGGCACACAGCATAACCATTGGACCGCCAATTGTGGTGAGTGATACTAAACTGCCTGTTGTGGTGAGTGATATTGAACCGCCTGTTGTGATGAGTGACACTAAATTGACCATTGTGGCTCAGAAAAAAATGTACCTGCTGACTCGACGAATAATCTCCTTAATGTTTGAAATAAAACATCAAATGTTACAACAAATAATGAAGAAGTAATTTGTGAAATTAATTTCAAACAAGAACAGCAGGGCTTGTTATCATTAATGAGGACAATCCCTATCATAATTTATTATAAAATGCGCATATAGCAATTGCATTTGCTAAATATAAATATACTTTTATATAAAGCATATGGAGTGTTTCTATCTGATTGACCCTCATGCACGTAATTGTTTTGGGATGCCTGATCCTAATGGCATATGTTTTGAAGCTTGATCTAAACCTAAGGCACCATATGTGTGTTCACGATGTTCTTGGGATAAGAATGAAATGAAAGATTTGACTCAGCTTGAGGAAATGTTAATTGCTTGTGCTTTGTGAATCATGAAAGTTTGCATTAAGTGTGGAGGTCAACGAGGTTATACTCAGGGCATGTGGCTAATATAAAGCATTTAAATTCCAAGTGCATACAATATTGACATTCCCTGTTATTTACAGACATTCTTGTTTTGTTCCCTTATACATTAAAGAAACAGGGCTTGTACTCCTTTAGACTTGGTTCAAGTCCGTCTCAGGAGAAAAGTAGGGAGAGACGGAATTGGGATATTTGTAGCAGGTGTGGATAAAAGACGGGCGCGGACCGGACGCGGACTGGCGGACGCGAAATGGCGGACGCGGACTGGCGGACGCGGACTGGCGGACGTGGACTGGCGGACGCGGACTGGCGGACGCGGACTGGCGGACGCGGACTGGCGGACGCGGACTGGCGGACGCGGACTGGCGGACGCGGACTGGCGGACGCGGACTGGCGGACGCGGACTCGCGGTCGCGGACTGCGCGCGTTTCAACCGCGTATATTAACTCGAAACGTAAGGATATTCAAACTTAAGCATATATGAAAATATCTCCATTTTGGTGGTATTTATATTCTCTGCAATATTGAGCGAAAAATCGTTGCCTAAACGAGGTGTCATAATTGCCGTCGGAATACACATTCTATGATTCTAGTCGGAACATATAATTTGTCTGGTTTTATTCGCCCATTTCAACCGCGTATGTTAACTCGAAGCTAACAAATATTCAAATAAACGCATATTTATGGAAAGCTTAGAAAAATATCTACATTTTGGTGGGATTTATATTCTCGTAGCCACAATATTGAGCGAAAAATTGCTGCCTAAACGACGGTGTCAAAATTGCCGTCGGAATACAGAATATAATTTCTAGTTGGAATTATACCTGTCTGATTTTATGTGCGCGTTTCAACGCGTATATTAACCCGAAACGTATGGATATTCAATCTTAACGCAATTGGTAGAAAGCGTATAAAATTATCTACATTTTGGTGGGATTTATATTCTGGCAGCTACAATATTGGGCGAGAAAACGTTGCCTAAACCGCTAAACGAGGGGACAAAATCACAAAATAACCAATGACAATGTCAATGTAACTGAACACTTTAAAACCTGAATATTTAATTACGAAGTCAAAGATTCACTCACACCTAGCTAAACAAATGCCGTCAAACATTATTATTATTATTATTATTATTATTAATTTAATTAGATCTCCCAAAACGGGCTTTTCAGATCAATTTACAAAGTTATGTAAGTAAAGATTATAAAATACAATCTATTTACATATAAAAAATTATGGTAATTGAGTATAAGTCTAAGCAAAAATGTTTGAAAGCATATTCTGTTTCAATTGTTTTTAAAAGTGATAAAACTACTGATGTCTTTAAATTTACGATCTAAGTCGTTCCATAACTTTGTTGCACGGAATTTGAAAGTCCTCCGCCCATTGTATATACCATAGACATAGTCATCTTGATGTGGATTATGTGACATAGTCAAATCTTGATGTGGATTAAATCTTGATGTGGATTTTCAGCGATTTAAGAGGGCAAAGAATCGGGCGACCTATTTGATGAACAGAGCAAGAAGTGAATTCTATAGTAACTTAATTAGTGAGAACTCTGGTAATTAAAGGAAATTATTTTCGATTACGAGGAAACTTTTCAATCAGAGTAACGAGATGGTTTTTCCACCTAACTGTAATATGGAAAGCTTTGTTGACGATATGGGAACATTCTTTATAAGGAAGATTACAAACCTACGTGCGAAATTAGCTTGTGTAGATGATTGTACCTATAGCAATCTTGGTGACCCATGTGTATCATCATTTGAGAAATTTGAACCTTTGGAGATGGAAGCTGTCAAGCACCTTGTTTTAGAGTCGAACACAAAATCTTGCTCCTTGGATCCTATCCCGACTAGCATGGTAAAGGAATGTTTGGATGAGTTGCTACCAGTACTAATATCTATTATTAATTACTGTTTGTCATCAGGATTATTTCCTAATGAATGGAAAGAGGCTTTAATAATTCCGTTACTGAAGAAATTTGGCCTGGATTTAGCTTTCGAAAATTTTAGGCCTATTAGTAATTTACAATTTGTGTCAAAGTTGACCGAAAAAGCTGTTTTCAACCAAACACATTCTTATCTAGTTTCAAATGATTTGTTTCCTCTTTGTCAATCCAGTTATCGGAAATATCACAGTACAGAGACGGCGCTACTAAAAGTAAAGAATGATATTTTAATGAATATGAACAACCAAGAGGTTACATTACTTGTTTTATTGGATCTCAGTGCTGCCTTTGACACGGTCGACCACAGTATTCTTCTTAAGCGACTACAGGAGGACTTTGGAATCTCTGGAACAGTACTTTCTTGGTTTTCTTCCTATCTTTCAGGCAGGTCTCAAAAAGTTGTAATTGATGGTGTCTGCTCTAAAAAATTTGATCTGAGTTTTGGTGTCCCACAGGGATCATGTTTGGGACCACTGCTTTTCATCCTATATACAAGTAAGTTGTTCAAAATTATCGAATCTCATTTACCGAACGCGCATTGTTTTGCTGACGATACCCAACTGTACTTATCCTTTAAACCTGGAACTATGTTTGGATGAAGCCAATGCTGTGCGAGCAATGGAAGCTTGTATTGCTGAGGTACATCAGTGGATGCTCTCTCAAAAACTTAAGCTTAATCCTGAGAAAACCGAGTTTATGATCATTGGCACAAGGCAACAGCTGGAAAAGGTTAACATCGATTGTCTACAAGTGGGAGACAGGCAAATTATGCCATCTTCTGTAGCGAAAAACTTGGGATCTTGGTTTGATTCTAAATTAAACATGTCACAGCATATTAACAAGACATGTAGCTCTGCTTTCTTTCATCTTTATAACATCCGTAGAATACGAAAGTATTTAACTCGCCAGGATGTGGAGTGTTTGGTGCATGCACTTATTTCAAGTAAGATTGATTACTGCAATGGATTGCTTTACGGTATTCCAGCTGTTCATATGACGAAACTCCAACGTGTTCAAAACAATGCTGCAAGATTGGTCACCGGTATTTCACGATTCAGTCACATTACACCCGTCTTGGACGCCCTACACTGGTTGCCTGTTGTTTACAGGATTCAGTATAAAATTTTATTGTTAACTTTTAAATGCATACATGGACTAGCCCCAAAATATTTAATGGATCTTATTAACATTAGTAGGCATACTAGGTACAGTTTAAGATCATTGTGGAAGTTTGACACTATTGCCACCAACAGGAAAATGTTTGACGACTCTTGGTGGGAGAGCATTTAAATCAGCTGCTCCAAAACTTTGGAACGTTATGCCAGCATATATTCGTAATATGGACAATTTAAATCTATTTAAAAAGGCATTGAAAACCTACTTATATAGAATGGCCTTCGAACATTGAAATACTTTTTTATAAAGTGAACTCTGATTTTAGATGTAAATAACTATAATATAATAACTGTAATTTAAATTTTAGATTTTCATGTAATGCGCATATGAACATATCTACATGGTAATATGCGCAATATAAGTTTAATTATGTTAATGTTATGTTAATGAGATAGAGACTCTATTTTTGCAAATTTTAAAGGTATATAAATATATCGCATATTGTTGGCTTTCGACTTTCGTATAATATCTTGTCTTTAGTGCGCGTTGTATATTGCCTGCGCTGCAGACCGGCTATGCATGCGTAGAGCGCCGTAGACTATAACCCTCATGCAGTTATCTTGAATTGTATTTCATGCAATAGAAGATGCACGCGCTCCGGAAATTGTATAACTCCAATATTGTAGCTGCGATAATATAATGCACTTATCATTGACTTCCCCGGGGGTCGACCCCGGCGACACCCCAGGGGGAATCCCTGGGAACAGGAGGGGATTTGTTGTCTTTTGTAAAAAATAGTTTCCCTCGAGGAAGGGAAATTGTTTGGAGGTGAGGGGCTGTAACATGATTTTTGTCATTAAACTTTCCTCTGTAGCCAGGGGCTTTGTTAATGTTTTGTTCCGTCCTCTTGACAAAAGCCCCTGGGTGTCCTGGGGGTCGACCCCCGGGGAAGTCGATGATAAGTGCATAAATTCCACCAAAATGTAGATAATTTTATAGGCTTTCTACCAATTGCGTTAAGTTTGAATATCCATAAGTTTCGGGTTAATATACGCGTTAAGCCCGTCTTTTATCCACACCCATTTGTAGCATTTTGAATGTTACTTGCAAAAATTAGTGAGAAAATTTGTGGTTGTTCTCAACTCGCAAGCCACGCCTCCGCAGGAAAAAACCGACGGTAAAATTTGGCGCGCTTGCGGGTAAATCCAATTCCGTTTCTCCCTACTTTTCTGAGTTTTCTCTCATATTTTTGCGCCTTTAATTAAAGTGATTTTACATATCCGTTTCACTGTAAATTAAGTTGTTTCCTCTCTAACAATTGCCATTCGAGGCAGCAATTTCCTTGCGACAGTAACTCCTAGTTATTTATTACTTTAGGACGAAATTGTTCTCGGTTCTCTTGATTTTTGCTGCTATTGACAAGGTGTATGGAGGTATGTTCAATATAGACCTCATTTAGCAGGTTCCAGAGATTGTTATACTTTGAGTAATATTTCAAATCCGACTATGAGGACTAGGACTGGACTAGATTTCAAGCACGCGCAATTTGATCAAGTCCGAGGCGAAGCCGATCAGTGGATCAAAATGCGAGGACTTGAAATTTAGTCCAGTTCGAATTGGAGGATTTGAAATCAGGGGACATCTCATACGAATAAATCACTATGCTTAGGCCAGGGTCAAACGTCGAACTTTTCATGCGCCGAACCTAATGCAAATGAAGTGAAACAAAGAACTTAGCTCATTATAAACATTAGGTTCGACGCATGAAAAGTTCGACGTTTGACCCTGGCCTTAATTAATTTTGATCCAGCACAAGGACTGATTTAATTTTGATCCAGTCTTGGGACTGGATCGATGTACTTCATCATCATGGCTATTTATTCATGAATTATTAAGAGGAGATTTTTTTGTATGTTGCGTAACACGCGCTCAAAACTAATGTGTATAATATACCAGTTGAAGTTATGACTATATTCAAAATTTTTATTTTTCGATACGTTTCTCAATCGGCAAACAAACTTAAAAAGTATGTTTAGTGTCTTCTTTAAAATAGTGCCAAAATGAAGAGATTTTAGATGATACGCTAAAGAGAAAGTGATGTCTGAAGTTCAGTAAGTTTTGCTTATATGGCTGTAAATATGGCGTCAATTGCATGCCTCTTAATGAGTTTGAGATTTTGTAGTGATATGTCTAGTTTCTCTCAAATTCCTTTGATAGTTTTCTGATATTGCTTGTGCCTGTTGGAGTATTATTTGAACGTTGGTGGCAAGTGAGCGCACATAGGTAGCTTATTTTTTAAACTAGAAATACATGCATGCAGCAACCCCTCGCCTTTTTTTAACAGATGAAATATAGAAATTCCACATGAAGTATTCCATTCCATGTTTAAAATAATAGTAGTCACTATGCCTATGGTAACGTGAAAATAATACGAGATAATTTTTAACTAAAGAATTATTGATTTTCATATTTTGGAATGTAGCTATCGATATAGTTATAGTTTACGTAAACGACAATAAATAAACACACATAAAAAAACACAATATGCTGTATTATTAAATTGCCCCAAATAAACAACATTATTATATATCAATAGTCAAAGTCGCATTTTTCTAGTGTTTTATTGGTTGAGAGCATATCACGTGAGAGTGACGAAATTCGGCTGTCTCCCTCGTAACAGCGCGAGAGGGAGATAATACGTTATCGACCGGCGAATAACAAAAAAAAATCACGTGCGCCATCACGTGAAGATGCGACCTTTGGACATGCCTAGTATGTAACTAAAACGTTCGCTTTAAGTAACTGCAGTGTAGCCAGTGTTTAATATAACGTTTTAACAATAAAATATTTCATGTATTTACGTTCATTTGTTCTTAATTTAATTTATTGTTTCTTTGACTATTGATATATAACAAGACGCCTGCTCAGGCGTTCACACTGGCCTGAAAATGGCAACTTTCGTGGAGGGTGTAATGTGTAGTAGAGAAGTAACTAGGGATACAGGGAGTCTGGACCATATAAATACAACCAATAAATACAATCATGATTAGCAACTATCAACCATAATATACCAAGACGCCGGCTCAGGCGTACCCTCTGCCGCTCTGGCTACGGGCAATTCAACCTGACAAGCCAGGCCCACTGTAACTATGATCATCAACTATCAACCGTAAATAATGATGGGTCAATAATAGTGAATAAATTCTATTGTCCTTGATTTTTAATGCCATTATATGGCTCGTTTCAGGTGCTAAAAAGTTTATAGACATAGACGATTCTTCTAAAAAATTCGCCAATTTGCTTCCAGTTATAAGATAAACTGATCCCAAACCCTTCTCTAACCCCACTATTCTTCCCTTGGGCCTGCACGCGGGCTAACCCCAACCAGTAAACATCTAACTGAACAATATGAGAATTAAAAAGTTGGGGGGAAAGTTGGATCGAACCGTAACAAATCGAACCGTACCACGTTTCACTTCGCCGCACGCAACGCCAGTAGTATAGGGAATGAGGGTTCTAGACCACTTTTTCGGCCCGCGATCTCACCCAACTTCCGGTCAGCGGTTTCCATATTTTTCCCTCAAAAACGCGGGCTCATATTTTTCTAGACCATTTTTCTATTATTTTTGGTATTATTTTTTCTATTATTTTTGGCATTATTTTTTCTATTATTTTTGGCGTTATTTTTTCTATTATTTTTGGCATTATTTTTTCTATTATTTTTCTATTATTTTTCATCATTATTTTTTCAACATTATTTAACAATTTACTTTTCCTATTGAGTGATGTCCGTACGCGTAACTTGTAACACCATCTTCAAGTAGGTATCTTTTATCATCGAAACAGCTGAGTGTAATTTTCTTCAGTTCGTAAGTTCCGATTTTATGCTTGATGCTTCTGATCGTGTTCATCTTATGTCTCATCCTACCTTTGGTCTTGATTACGTTCTTAAAGTTTTCGTGAGTGAGTTTGTTTCTGATCGCGTACTTTTTCACACCTTTCGCTGTCATTCCACCTCCGCCGCTCTCTTTTACGTAGGAGTACATCTTTGACCTTAACCCTACGAATTCAATCACTGGTACTCCTTCAGCTTCATCCTTAAACTTTCCAATTACCTTCTTATTGTGAGCTGAGTAATATGGAGAATCTTTCGGATAATCTGAGTTGTCCCAGCAGTCCTTCTCCTGACCTATCCTCTTGAAGTCCTCATACACGTCATCAGTCTTAATCTCGTACATTAGACTTTCAGTGTCTGTGAATAGAAGCTTCGACTTATTACCGTACTCCTTCTTGATTGTGTTGTAATGGAAGTCGTACATTAAAGTCTTGGATAAGTCTAGTATACTCATTCCCACATAGCACGGTTTATTCAGAGTTAGAACTTCCTTCATTCTCTTTACCACAATTAAGTTCTCATTCATAATCCTATGCGATTGGAAGCACGGCGACGCTGTAAGTTTTAGGAGGTCATTTTTCGATGACACTAATTTTACATCAACTCTCTTCCTCAAATTTTCCATAGTCTTTCCGTAGATGGAATTGTTCATAAGTTTGAAGAAGTTTTTCTCGAACGCATTCTTAGCTACTGCCCGTTTTTGAGTATTAAAGTCAATATAGTTTTTCAGCCAAGTTGACTGCCTGAAGGAGACTGCTCTATGAACCTTTAGGAGTTTCATTCCGAGATCCATGTAGAGTTTCAAGTTACGGGCATGTAGGACGTAGTTCTTCCTGGGACCTATCGAGTTCACCAGTTTTCTTACTCCTCCGATTGTAAGCTGGAATTTCTCAGCAATACTCTTCGCGTAGTCCGACAACATTGGCGCATCGATCTCCTTGCTCTCCGGGGCTAGAGGATAACCGTTGT